AAAAGAATCCCCTCTTTATATGGGGTTTGCCCTTTTTCTTGTATCACAATGGGTTCCATCATTTCCCAGAGCCCGGTAGACTTGGCCTGCCCGAGGTTCGCTTTTCAGTTGGGAAGTTGGAGCCCAAGAATCTAGTGGCATCACCGCGGCTTCCATTTCAACCACAGCCCTGTGGCAACAATGACAGATTTTATGGAACAGCGGCCAAACGTGAACAACACTGACAATTTCAATTTGTTCATCCCGACAGCACGTGTGGCTTCCGTTTCCAGCCGCCCACCGCCACTGTGCCCACCGCCCCGTCTGCGCTCGGCGCTCGGCGCTCGGCGCTCGGCGCTCGGCGCTCGGCGCTCGGCGCTCGGCGCTCGGCGCTCGGCGCTCGGCAGGTGGCGGGGCTCGCCTTGGAGCGGCGGCGGTTGAAGGCCTTGGCCGGGCTCCTGGCGCCTAGGTCCCCCGCCTCGGAGGCGTCCTGGGAGACCTCGGCGCGCCCGGAAACTCAGAGGATAAAAGGGGGGGGTGCTACGTGACGCAGGGGGTCCCACCAAAGGGACGGATGGGGGGCTCGTCTTTTTTTTAATTCTTTTTCGGAGCCCGTAAAAAGAAGGGCGATGTCCGTTTTTCCGGTTGGTTTCCCTTTGAAACCCACAAAGAAAGGGGTACCCTGAACAAAGAACGAACACACACACACACAGCCCAAATGGCACAGGTTCCCATGCAGCCAGATGTGCCAAATAATAAGCGTGACATTTTTCTTGGAAGGTTCGTGAAGCACTCGGGCTTCCTTGTTTCGTCCAGTAGCTGGGGAAGGGGCAGCAAACACACGGTAGACTATGGCAGAACTCAAAGGCAAAGATCCTTCGCCAACTTGATTCAACGCACGCCGACTTTAGGGCATGAGAAACACGCATGAGCGACTGGCCGATTGACCGACAATTGATTATGATTGTGTGTTGATACGGTCGGACTACCATCAAACATAGAGACTTAGCTGTGAAACGAGATGGTCCCCCCCAAATAGAAAAGCAAAATAGTTGTGTAGAAACTCGTGCAGCACGAGATGCATGGGCATCGTACAGTCTACTGCTTCACAGCTATCTGGGTCATTGCTGTCAGGTCGGATAAAAGCTTAGGTCTGCTTTGTCACAGCGTGTCGGGCCGGCCACTGGCAACAAACTCAAAGTCTGCTCTGTGATTGTATCGAATAACGTCTGTGAGCGAGACCAAAACGAAGATCGAACCAATTTTGGCGTTGGTCGGTTGCTTATATGTTGAAAGGATATGGGGTCCCATGATCGAGGGAGGTCGCAGGCATTTTTCCCGGCGACTTTGAGCAGTGCGTGCAGGCTGGCGCGTTTGGCCGCGCAAGTGCAGATCCAAGAAGCAGGCCTCACCGATTTTCACATATCGCCCTCATGGCATGGCTGTGCGCCCATAGCCACTGCCTATGACACCGGACCTGTCCAGGCTCCAGCGGTCGCCAAAGGTGCGAGAAAGCGGGCGTGCAAGGCTGGACGGTTGCCGCCCCGCCGCCCCGTTGAATTGGTGAGCCAATGGGACGCCAAGCCAAGAGGTGAGCGCGGTTCGCTTCATGCGGGGAGTTGCGCCAGGTCAAAGCCTTGAAGCCCAGGACGTTTGCCAGGCGCGCGGAGTGCCCAAGAAAGATGTTCGTTCCTTCCTGGTCGGAGGTTTCCTCGCCAGGCATGGTGGATATGGGTTTTGGGGATTGCCAGAGATCCACATGATTGTGGGGGCACCAAATGGTCGGAAGGGCTGAGGATGTTTCCTGTGGCCCTCACCTGTCGAATGAGGCAAGACAAGTCAGATCTCAGGCCTCACTTCCGAAAATTCCTGGAATCGCCCCGCGCTTTGCGATCCCGCAAAAATGATCTCCTGGAACAAACATCAGAGCACTGACAGGTCAGGCACGCTGCTACCGTGAAGGCCGAGCCTCAGGACAGGTGCTTTCTGTGCTTGGCTTCCAAGAGCGGCTTGAGAGTGGCTGAACGTCGACCAAAATCTTGGGCAGTTCTCCGCAAGTCCCACCCCAGTGCACCAGTGCCTTCATGGAGGCTTTCTAGTGCCTTCATGGGGGCTTTCTAGCGCCTGAGTGGAGTTACTCCTCTTCAGAATGCACGTTGATTCGAGTGAGCCAATGGTGGGCAGCGGAAACTGCCGGAAACTGCTGGGTAGCAGCGGCAAACGCAAGTTGGGTAGCACAACCAGCTGCACCACATTGCAGAGATGCCCTTTTAACACGGATTGCTTGCACTTCAAATTTAATTTCACATCTTGTCACGTGTGCTTTGGGGTTTAGGCCTTGAAGATTCTGACGACTCCTGAGCTTGTTGAAATCGAGCTGAAGAGCTTCTTCACGTCAGGAGCTCGGCGCTTTTCGCGGCAAGCAGCAATTGCCTTCTGTTTTTTCCGCGAGGGGCGGCTGGGCAGGTTCACCGCGAATGGGGGAGAGCACAAGAACTGCGCACGAAGACGGCATCAACTCTCCCGCTTTCTGTTTGGGGCTTTAGCATGTTGGACCGGGGGCTCTGGCAAAGCTCTCTCGTGCCAATGCATCCTCAGACTTCCCAGAGCTTTTTGTGCCTCAGAAGGGGTCAGGAGAACATCCGGGACTGGTCCCCAGCGATTTTCTGTGGGGATGTCCCCAGCCACCCCTCCACCACGCGCGCTGTGTGCGGGTGTGGATCAATCTTTGGCGGGCGCGATGATGCAAATCCCGAGAGCTCCTGCCACAACCTCGTTATGGTTTGGGTATGTGTCAAATAGAGGGACCTCCAAATGACTTGGTACCAAAAAAGACAAGCATTAGCAGTAGCCATGCAGCAACAATGTTTCCCAACCATCGCTCGAGCGTGCCCTGAAGAAGCGCGAGCGGACTTTGTGCATCCTGGTTCAACACTGTAGCATTGGGTTTGTGTCTTCTGCGGTTGAGGGATAGTGGTTTGGTCTTTCTATAGTGCTTTGTTTCCCGCGGTTTTGCGGGCAGGGGTTTAGGGTTGTGGGTGGCGGTCCTGCCAGCATTGCCCCAAAGAGATGTCTCACGGCCAAGAGTGGCAAGACCAACTTCTTTCTTCCTATTGGATTTCCTTCGAGGAGTATGGCGCGAAAGATCGAGCTGGTTGCATAAGCATGGTTGGGATCTCCTTGCCCACGTTCCCTGCAACGTCTTGTTCCCGTTGAAATCCAAGTGTTTGGAAACTGATGTCCTCACAAGGTCAGAAGAGCTCGGGGAAACACAAATCCCGCACGGGGTTCATTTGGATCGGGATCGCAGGTAGATTTGGGCCATGGGTCCAAATCCAAATCGTACCCCCAGTGAACATCCCTATCCCCGCTAAAATCGAGTAAATGGGTGGTGCACCTACCAACCAAAATGGTACCATTGGTTTTGACCCACAGCTATTTCTTGTGGTTAAAGGGCAGGAGCCTGGAAATGGATATTCCACGCAGCCCGGCTTCGTTCGCCCAAGTCGCCAGAGTGCTTGGCGCTTTTCCTGGCCTTGCGTTATGAACTGCAGGCTCAGACCAATGGATGCCCTGTTCAGAGAGAGGAATTTCTGGCGAACATGAATCTCAAATCTCAATGACTCAGAGCGCGGGATGCACTTGTTGTGAAGCTGCATCAAGTACCCACTATTCATGGTGGACAAACGGAACGGAAACGAGACATGCTGCGGAAAAGCTTGATGAAGCATAGTTACATTATATGATTCACCAGTCAATGTTTTGAAAGCACATATTTTTCAATGGCTAGACATGATTCAATCTAGCGCACTGCCCTTTCCCAATCAAGTTAGTGATTGGCACCATGCATTCCAGCAGCTCAGCACTTCCCCCCCCGGCTTGGACGCATTGAATTGAGGTTTTCAGACGTAGCTTCCTTTTGGAGTGCCATTGACGGGGTGAGGGTGTCTAAACATGTTGTGGGGGGGGGGTGGGGTGGTTCCGCAAGTGTTCTGTGCTCATGATTTCCGAGTAGACACTCTACGATAGCGACAGACAAGCTACACACTCAAAGGGACACAAAAGAGCAAGCGACACCTGGAAGCCTGTTCCCTGCAATCCTGTCTCTGACTATGTATTGAATCACTCTCGCGGGAGGAATTGGACTGCACGCAAGAGATTGTTTTTTGAGTCAACCTCGAGGATCTCCTTTGTCGAACTTTCTCGCCATGTGAGAGCAATTGCTCAAGCGCAATGTTTGGTGGTTGGTTGTAGCTCTCTTGGGAGGTCGCGAGGTTGCACCTAATTTCTCACCAGCTGGCCATCCCAGCCAATTCAGGCTCACTTGTGTCAAGGCCTTTTGCCGCGGGGCCTGGTTTTTGCCCTGGCAAAGACATATCGATCGAGGCCAGGGCGAGCCAAGGTGTCCCACCTAGGAGCTGCTCCGACTGACAACCACGGTCTCAGCTCGCGGTTGTCAGCCCTCTCCCTTTGAAGAAACTAAAGGAGCGCTTCTGGAGTTCTGAAGCACATGCCTGGATTCCTTCAATGCCTGCATGGAAAAAAACAAAAAAAGAAGCGCTGTGCTGCACTCGTGGTGAGCCCACCAGAGTTTTTCCCGCGAGTGCTCTCCCGTCTCAACCCAAGTTCACAAATTTGGGGAAGTTGAGGCCCTGGGCTCCTGAAGATCTGACCGCTCTTCACCCATTGCCTTGCCCCGGGACTGGCCTGCCTCCTTACGAGCTTGCCCACCACTCCTGGTATTTGCTGGGCTCATTTCTTCTCTCCGTCAGGAGAGCCAGCATGTAAGCCTGGGAGTTGGGAACTTGTCGCCCATGCACGTGATTTCTTCAGGGGTTTTGGCACTGTTTGCTCTCGGCTGAATCCAAAAGAGGGAGTTGGGGCAGGGGTCTTTGTTCGCGGTGGCGTTTATCGAAACTGAGGTGAAGCAACAACCTTTGTAGGAGGCAAGCCTCCTGAACCCAGGACAAAGAAGATCTTGAAAACGAGAGTCGCGTTTCCTTTGCAGCCCCTGCTCTCAGGCTCAGATGCAGGCGGTCGCCAGAGTAGGGCAGCTCAGGAATTTCTCAGCATGCATTCAGTTCCGGGTCAGAGAGATGAAGCTAAACGGAACCTTTTTGATGCAAACCGCCAGGGAGACCAATTTGCCCCAGGTGCAAAGGGAACTCGCGGCCCACGAACAGGACATGGCCCTGGACTCAGTCTTGGCAGTCCCTTGCGGCTCTGAATATTGCAGCATTGCAGGTGTCAAGGCACAGTACGCCAGAAGGGAATTCATTGCCCCCTTTGCCGAGTCAAGGCGTGTGGCCTAAAGTGCGGCCCTCTCACCTGAGGCACTCCTAAGGCAGGAGCGCGACCGCCTGAAGGTGCGAACGCCTGAAGGGACTAGCGATACTCCTTGACCCGGTCTTGACAGATTCGACTTTCCATGGTCACCAGCCTCGATTTTTGGAAAGAGTTTTTTTTTTGTGGGCCAAATTATTTGTAGTTTTTTGTTGTTGCAATCATTGTTGCTTTTGGAAAGAGCTTTTTTTTGTGTGGGAATGGTGCTATCAGCCAGCCAGAAGTGTATCCTCCATTTTCCGCTTTTCAAGGCGCAGCTGGCCACCGCCCGAGCCCTCAGCGACGGCCGTTCAAAGATCGAGCTGTGGGTTCTTGTGAAATGAGCGCCATCCTGAAAAGCGCTTCGCATGCGAGCCATGCCTTTAAGCCAAGCCCGGAGTCTCTCTCTCTCTCTCTCTCTCTCTCTCTCTCTCTCTCTCTCTCTCTCTCTCTCTCTCTTGTATTCTTGAGAGATGTCAGAGAGAAAGCATGGTTAGTGTCTTTGACACTAACAATCTGTTGGCCTAGAACTCGTTGGGGCGCAAACCATTGCTCTTAGGTTTCTGTTTTCAGTGGATGCGACAATGGGAACACCACCCGTTGGTATGATGAACACCCCTAGGATGGTTGTCTGCATGGAGCGGTTGGGTGGCGAGGCAGAGGAACCTGCGGGCGATGTCCAGAAGCGGGGAGAGGGCAATGTCTCTGCCAGGCGTGGGAAGGCAATGGGCGCGTGTTGGCTGTAGCGTACCCTTTTAAGCGAGGTTCAAAGGGAACACCATTCTGGGCCTGGCTTCATCTATAGTCACACACACACACACATGCACACACCCACATGATGGATGGATTCGTTGTCGATTGTGATAGATTTGAGCAGCTGCTTGGCATCATGGACACTTGACTTGCTCCACTGGATCGCGCGTGTTTGAATGCGGAGTCATATGCTCCCGAGAGGCTCCAGCAGAGGGAGCTCGAGCTGCAGGAGAGGTCGGCGGGTCTGTGGCGGGTGAAGACCAGGAAGAAGAGTACCACTTGAACTGAGATGCAAACGCAGGGTTTGGGATTTGAGGACAAATCTAAGAAACCTGTAGTGTAACTTTTCGGAGGAGAACACCTCATGCGAACGCCTGCGTCGAGCAGGGTACTGAGATTTCTCCACCTGCCTGCAACTGGTGCATTTGGTGTCGGCAAGGGGTCCATGTCTCTTGAGGACAGAGCCATGGCGCTCAAAGAGCCGTTGGCATGTTTGAGGGACCCTTGGGACCATTGGAGATCCTAGGAGGCGGCAAGCTGATACAAACAAAAAACACCAGGGCACCGAAACGTGAGTCGTGCAAACCGCATCTGCCTTCCTGATCATTTAGGGAAAACGAGAGAAAGGGCGGCCCCTGACTGGATGGAGCCTAGCGGCCATTTTCTGCAGGACCTGCGGCGCAGGCTGAAGGCCGGCAGAGAACGCCATCTGCTCAGAGCGTCCGCGGGCGGTGGGAAAGGCGGCTCAGCGGTTTCGCGCAGCCTTGGGCTTGAACGGTTTTGGTTCCTCCGTCGCATTGGGAAGTCGCGCGCGCGTTGCCATGGCACCCTACTCAGTGCAGTGCAGAATTGGACTCGGTTCCTGGAAAGAGCGGCTGCAGCTGTCGCCGGATCCCGAAGGATTTGAGGTCAGGTTGGCATTGAGCAGCAAGACTCGCAGGCACTGGTCGCTTCATAGAATCCTCCATGCCCGCACTTTGAGAGTCATCGATGACGGCGACCGTTTGCTTGATGTTTTCCCACTTGCCGAAGCAGAGATCCAAGTGGTTTTCTCCCTCAGTTCAAGTCATCCTTTAATCAAAGATCGTAACACCATGACCAGGATGGCGGTGCTGGTCAGGGATGCTTTGAAGTATGCGTCTCCGGATCTGAGAGCAGATGAACACCTTGTCAGGCTTGCTGTGCAGAGCTATCCAGACTCGTTAAAGTATGCCGCCAAGGATTGTCGGGATTCCACAGAGATCGGGAGGATTGCCATTTCTGGCGATCCGCAAACATATCGCTTATGCGGCAAGCGGGTTCAGCAGGTGCCAGAATTAGCCGAGATGGCCGTGGTCGCCGTGCCTGATCTCATGAGATTTGTGCCCAACTGCCTTCGCAAGAACCCTCGGTTTATCACAAGTTGCGTCCGTCAGCGAGGTGTTCTTTTGCAGCACACAAGAGCACAGCTGCCCAGGGCAGCGATCATAGACGCGGTGTCTCAAGATGGCCGTGCTCTGAAGTATGTGCAGGATGCTTGGGTGTCTGCCGAATCAAAGCTCCAGGATGACAAGGACGTGGTGCTTGCGGCAGTGCGGCAGAACGGTTTGGCGCTGGGCTTTGCCTCCAGACGCCTCCGGTCAGACAGGGAGGTGGTCTGCACTGCAGTGATGCAGGACCAGAGGGCGCTGAAGTTTTGCCACGAGCAACGGGCGGTGCTGGATGCCGTCCGCGTGCGGCCTGAGGCGCTGAAGTACGCCAAGGAGTTCCGCAACGATGGGGCGGTTGTGGAGGCCGCCTTTGCTGAAGACCCCGACTCTTTGGCTTTCGCTTTCAAAGATGCCGCGCTTTACATGGTGTCAGCTCATGGTGATGTGTCGCAGTTCGCAAAGCGGTCCTTGCGAGACGATGAAGACATGAAGGCGGCACTGCATTGGGTCAGAACTCGTTGAGAGAGCCAGAGGACCGGAACTTGGCGACAGATCAGGCTGAATAGACGCGCAAGACTGAGCAGGATGTTCAACAAGCAAGCGGAGAGCTGTGTTTGTGGACTTCGAGGCCGCGTTTGCACAGCGTGGCTCGTATCGCCCCTGTAGCTTTACTTGGAGTTTTGGTTTACCCGCGCATCAACGCCGGGGTTCATTGTTCGCGTCGTTGCAGTGCACGACTCGTGTAGTTTCCGACTTTGCCGTGTGCAGTATCGGCAAGAGTCGGGGTTCATCAGTCTCGGGAATCAATAACCATACTAAGCTGAGCAGCGTCCAACACCTGCATGAGTTTTGTCATATCGACCTGCGCCATAGCAGTCATTGGAAGTGTTGGTATGCCTAGAATCTATAGAGTGTGAGCAGTAGATACGCCGCAATGTTGCAAATAATGCAGGGTCGGCTTTAATGTAAACTCCCCCCGCCCCGAAAAAGCGCCAGCAGTCCACGGGGCCTCTTCAGTGCGCGTATTTTGGGGGGTCTGGGTTCGACTTCGACTTGATGTAGTATTGCCAATTCTACCTTGGTATTTCCAAGACCTTACTCTCACATTCCCAGTACTTGATTCAGTATTGCCAATTCTATTTCGGTATTGCCAAGACTTACTCTCAGATTCCCAGTACTTGATGTAGTATTGCCAATTGTATTTTGGTATTTCCAAGACCTTCATTTCAGATTCCCAGTACTTGATGTAGTATTGCCAATTCTATGTTGGTATTTTCAAGACCTTCCTCTCAGATTCCCAGTACTTGATTCAGTATTGCCAATTCTATTTTGGTATTTCCAAGACCTTACTCTCAGATTCCCAGTACTTGATGTAGTATTGCCAATTCTATTTTGGTATTGCCAAGACTTACTCTCAGATTCCCAGTACTTGATTCAGTATTGCCAATTCTATTTTGGTATTTCCAAGACCTTACTCTCAGATTCCCAGTACTTGATTGAGTATTGCCAATTCCATTTTGGTATTTCCAAGACCTTACTCTCAGATTCCCAGTACTTGATTCAGTATTGCCAATTCCATTTTGGTGTTTCCAAGAGCTTACTGTCAGATTCCCAGTACTTGATTCAGTATTGCCAATTCCATTTTGGTATTTCCAAGACCTTACTCTCAGATTCCCAGTACTTGATTCAGTATTGCCAATTCTATTTTGGTATTTCCAAGACCTTACTCTCAGCTTGCCAGTACTTGATGTAGTATTGCCAATTCTATTTTGGTATTGCCAAGACTTACTCTCAGATTCCCAGTACTTGATTCAGTATTGCCAATTCTATTTTGGTATTTCCAAGACCTTACTCTCAGATTCCCAGTACTTGATTCAGTATTGCCAATTCCATTTTGGTGTTTCCAAGAGCTTACTGTCAGATTCCCAGTACTTGATTCAGTATTGCCAATTCCATTTTGGTATTTCCAAGACCTTACTCTCAGATTCCCAGTACTTGATTCAGTATTGCCAATTCTATTTTGGTATTTCCAAGACCTTACTCTCAGCTTGCCAGTACTTGATGTAGTATTGCCAATTCTATTTTGGTATTGCCAAGACTTACTCTCAGATTCCCAGTACTTGATTCAGTATTGCCAATTCTATTTTGGTATTTCCAAGACCTTACTCTCAGATTTCCAGTACTTGATGTAGTATTGCCAATTCTATTTTGGTATTTCCAAGACCTTACTCTCAGATTCCCAGTACTTGATTCAGTAATGCCAATTCCATTTTGGTGTTTCCAAGAGCTTACTCTCAGATTCCCAGTACTTGATTCAGTATTGCCAATTCTATTTTGGTATTTCCAAGACCATACTCTCAGACTTCCCAGTACTTGATTCAGTATTGCCAATTCTATTTTGGTATTTCCAAGACCGTACTCTCAGATTTCCAGTACTTGATGTAGTATTGCCAATTCTATTTTGGTATTGCCAAGACTTACTCTCAGATTCCCAGTACTTGATTCAGTATTGCCAATTCTATTTTGGTATTTCCAAGACCTTACTCTCAGATTCCCAATACTTGATTCAGTATTGCCAATTCTACTTTGGTATTTCCAAGGCCTTCATTTCAGATTCCCAGTACTTGATTTTGGGTATTTCCAAGACCTTACTCTCAGATTCCCAGTACTTTAAAGCCTCTCTCTTCTCAATCTCCCTCTCCCTCTCCCTCTCCCTCTCCCTCTCCCTCTCTCTCTCTCTCTCTCCCTCTCTCTCTCTCTCTCTCTCTCTGTCTGTACCCTACGTATCAGACTTCGGGCGGGCGGGGGGTTAGAGTTAGTGGTGGCCTCTCCCGTCCGCATTTTGCCATCCGGTCCTAGGGTCCCCCCCACACTTTTGGGCACATTCTGAATACACCCACTAAAACAGCCTATTTTCAACATTCAAATTCAATCACCCAACCAATCCAACACCAAAAAACACATATTCACACACCCCTCTTCATTTCTTACCCCATCTCAACATCACCCCTATGCTCATTCAATAACAACAATCATAACTACACACCACCTCAACAAATCCCACCAAAAAAATCCAAGCTACATACCAACATTTTTCCATTCCCAAGATCGCAACCCCAAGATCTCAATAATTTCTCCCTTGATCCAACCTGAGACCCTTTCCCATTTCCAACAAATACGAACAGTCTAAAATGAAACCCTATGTTCGCCCCGTAAATGGTTAACCAATGGAAAAGGGAGAATTGAAACCGTTAACCCAAATCTTGAAAACAATCCCAGTAAAATATGGATGGCAAAATGCGGATGAACAAGGAGACCGGAACCATCAACACCCCCCACTCAAAAAGACACCGCCCCTTGTAGATGTCAGTCAGGTGGTTGTTGTTCACCGCGTCAATACCTGCGAGACAGAGAACACACTTGTGCACAAACTCAAATGCCGACATGGTGAATTCAAGTCAATATTCAAGCATCCACTGAAGCATTCAGTATCAAGCAGTTTTTCACTGCACGCATGCGGTTTCTACAGGGGTCACTGCACCCACTGTTCACATCGGGTGTCTGACAATGACACGTGTCAGTCGGAGAGCCTGGGTGCCAGCCACATTGCAACAAAGAAAAGGGACAAGGTTTTCCTTACAATGAGACAAGGTTTTCCTTACAATGGGGCAAGGTTTTCCTTACAATGGGGCAAGGTTTTTCTTGCAGGGGATGCAAGGTTTTTCTTGCAGGGGCACAAGGTTGACTGACAACTGGCCCAAGGACTCAGAATCCACTGATCTTCAGGGATTGATTGCCATATTCTGGAAAACCCTTGACACATCCTGCATGGACGGGTCTTCGCAAGTCAAGGCACTCAGGCGTTGCCGAAGCATGGCAAGGAACGGGTTGTTGTCAAAACGCCCCGTCTGTCCCGACTTCATGCACCACTCCACGTACTTGCGCACCATGGACATGACGAGGCAACTCTGCAGAGTCTCACAATCATCGGCGTGAGACTGAAGAACATCAAAGTGCTTCTTCAGCACGATCTTTGCGACCTTCTCAATCTTGATGTCCGTTCCACCTTGCCTTCCCGAAGTGTCGTCCATCATGGTGAGGATGGACTGGATGCCACCCGCATCAAGGGAAGCAAGAGCCTGACCGAAGAGTTGCGCCGGAGAACCGCTGAACTCTGAAATAAACTTCGCGACCGCCTGCACGTCCTTGAGGGTGCCACATTCAAAGGTGCGGTTCTTGATGCTGTCATAGATCTCTTGGTGCGCATCCTGAATCATGTTCTTCTTGTCCGCCTT